TCTCCTCTCTTACCACACCAGGTCCTCTGGCTTCTGGGTCTTTGAATGAGCTCTTCCTTCTAATTGGGACTTCCTTTCTCTGCTGGGCAAATTTCTACTCAAACTCCTATGCACTTCAGGAGTCCCCTCCTCCAGGAAGCCATTGATCAGTGCTGAGAGGTGGTCAGGGGCTTCCTCTGAGCTCTGTGAGCCACCTGTGCGGCCTCCAGTATAGGGGAGGCATTCACAGACAGACGGGCTCAGTGCCCAGAGTGGGAGGGAAGGGCCAGGCATGAGGCGAATCCCAGATGTGAATTTCACGCCTATTTGTCACGGGCACTGGGAACAAAGTTTGGGTCATAAGAAACATATGGGGCTCGCCCTGCTCTGTGCTTTTATCTCCTACCTTCCGGACCCCCGGGTGGGAGGCAGCAAGGACAGGGTTCAGCAGTCCTGGGTGGTTCCCACAGCCTCTTTGGACCTCCTCACCCCTCTCTCCCTGCCTTCAACTCCCACTCATTCGGAGAGCCCAGCAAACTCTTCCTTGATCCGTGTTCTTGCTTTCTGGGTTCTTCTCTCCTGGAGGAAGCCTGGTCACGGGGTGTTTAAATAATGATAACCTTCACAGATGCCTATTATTCTGTACCAGGTACTATTCTAAGCCCATTACATGTATTAACTCATTTAATCCCCATAATAAGCCCTGTGGAGTGCCTGGGTGGTGCGAACAGTTAACGCACTCAGTTGCTAACTGAAAGGTTGGCAGCTTGAACCCGCCCAGAGGGGCCTTAGAAGAAAGCCTGGCAATCTACTTCAGAAAAATCAGTCATTGAAAACCCCATGGAGCACAGTTCTACGCTTACACATATGGGGTCACCATGGATTGGAACCAACCCGATGGCAACTGGTAAACTGGTATTCATTCAACAATACCAACAAGGGGCTGGGGTTACATCATTGCAGTGCAGGGAATTCCTTTATATGGCCCTTCTAGCCATAGTCTTGTAAATTCCATCAACAGATTGGGTGGGACTATGCAGATAAGGTGCTTGTGGGCCACCAAGGGAATTGGGCAGCTTGCTAATAATGCAAATAATGTGGATGGAACCCTGCAGGGGTGGGACCATGCAAATAAGACGTACGGAACCCTAATGGTCAGTTTTGCCGTCCTGCTAGGCTTAAAGTAAGCCATCCCAGAGGCAGAAAGGGGGGTCCTGACTACCACCAAGAAGAAGAGACAGGAGCAGAGCACATCCTTTGGACCCAGGATCCCTGAGCTGAGAATCTTCTAGGCCCAGGAGACAGAGAGAGAGAGCAGTAACACCAGAGATGGTGAGAAACAGTGAGAGCAGTGGCAGAGAAAGAGCAAGAGTATAGGCAGCAGAACCAGGAGACTGGCAGGGGACGGCATGGTGGGCCTCCCAGCCCACTTGTGCGAGAGAGCTGAGCTTCTTCAGGCAGGAGGCTTGCTGGTGGAGTAGGGTGCTTCAGAGCACTTGTTGGTGGAGCTAGACTTGCTAACGCATGGAGCTGGAGAGCTGAGCGCCTTTGGGCTGAGGCTTACTGGTGGAGTTGGGTGCCTCTGGGCACTCATCAGTTGGGCTAAAGAGTTCTGTAACACTTGCCCGAGCAGAGCAGAAGTCAGGCCGGCCCAAGGGGCTGAGGGGCCCAAGGTCCCTGTGTAGCTGAGCCCAAGACAACCCAGTATTAAAGGCTACATTTCCACTGTCTCTTGCACCTAGGTGAAGCCATGTGACTAAATTCTGACAAATGAGATGAGAAGAGGGGGATTGTGTGGGTTCTTCGGCCTTTTCTCTTTGCCTTCCTCCATCCTGCTGCATGGAGAGAGTTGCGATGGCTGGAGTGCTAGCCACAATCTTGGGCCACAGGGGCAAGGACTGTTCTAAGAGTGGTAGGGGGAAAGCTGGAAAGTTTCTGGTGCCTGGGATATCTCCGTACTTCTTTTATGCAAAAGAGAAATTAACTTCTATCTTGTTTAAACCACTGTTATTTGGGGATCACTATGAATCCTAACGCTACAGATGGCATGAGGCACCACTTCACATTCAGTTGGGCTGCAATTAGACCACTCATCGATTCAGTCTTTGAGTGAACATTTGTCAAATGTCTACTATGTGCCAGGGGCCTTTCTAGGTGCAAGGAATACAGCTGTGAATAATACAAAATCCCTGTTCTCATGGAGCTCATGTTCTAGTGGAAAAGACAGAGAAATAGTAAACAATATATCAAGTGGTGATAAGTGCTAAGAAGAAAAATAAAGCAGGGAAAAGGGATAGAGTATGATTGGGGGGAGCTGTTATTTAGTTAGGGTGGTCAGGGAAGTTTTCTCTGATGTTGTGAGATTTGAGCAGAGCCCTGTGGTGGAAAATTCTAGTGCTCACCCACATCCGGTAGTGGTAGGCAGAATAATGGCCCCCAAAGCGGTACACACACTAATCCTTGGAGCCTGTGAATATGTTACCTTCCATGGCAAAAGAAACTTTGCAGATGTGATTAAGGTTAAGGATCTTGAGATGAGGAGATTATTCTGGATTACCTGGGTGGATCCCATTTAATCACATGGGTCATTAAAATCGGAGGCTGGTCTTTCCTGTCTGTGGTTAGATGAAGAGATGTGACAACTGAAGAAGAGGAAGGAGAAATCTGAAGTGTGAAAGGGGCAGGATTTGCTGATGGACTGGACATGAATGTGGAGATGAATACCCAATGGAATTGGCTTCAAGAGAGAATGAAAAGAGTAAAAATAAGGAATATAGAGTTTTTCCTGGAACAGAAAACTCTTCTTAGAAAATCCCTTAAAGATGCCTAATTCTTGCTTCAGACGTGCCCCCATCCCAGGCCCAGCTGGTGGTCAAAGGCAAGTTGCCACAGATGTTGAATTTTATTGGTAATTTGGCAGTGTGATGGTTAAGATTGTGTGTCAACTTGGCTGGGCCATGATTCTCAGTGTTTACATGTGATCACTCCCATGATTGAATATGCTGTGAGTAGCAAATCAAAGGAAAGGGCGTTTCCTTGGGGGTGTGGCCTGCATCTGAATATAAGCAGATGTTCTGGCTTTTTGCTCACTCTGGATCTTGTGGCTGCCTCCTGTCGTCTCACCTCTGGTTTTTTGGACTTGAGCTATCAGCTTATCTGCCGATCTTGCGATTCATCGATCTTCACAGCCTGTGAGCGGAGCCCTGCTCTCTGACCTAACGATCTTGGGTTTGCCAGCCCCTGCAGCTACGTGAATCAGGAGAAACCTTGCAGTCTTGCCTGCCGATCTTGGAATTCGTCGACCTTCACAGCCTGTGAGCAGGAGCCCTGCTCTCCAACCTACCGATCTTGGGCTCTCCAGCTTCTGCAGCTGATCCATGGACTTGGGACATTCTAGTCTCCACAATCACGTGAGCTGTTTCCTTGATATAAATCTCTAGCTATGTATATTTATACACTTTACTGGTTTTGCTTCTGTAGAGAACCCAGCCTAAGACAGGCAGTCAAATGGTCACCCCCGAGGCTATTTCCAGCCTTCGTTACTCTCAGCAACGGCAGGCCCAGAAAGTTTGCTGGAGGACACCGTTTTCTCTGCCTAGTACCCTATGACATGATGGCCCACCCTGACATCCCATTGGCTGATGTTTGTGTTAATGTTAGTGCCCTCGAGTCAGTTCCGACTCACGAAACACTGCCTGGTCCTGCACCATCCTCACAGGCATTGCTATGTTTGAGCCCATTGTTGCAGCCACTGCGCCAATCCATCTTGTGAGGGTCTTCCTCTTTTTCACTGTCCCTCTACCAAGCATGATGTGCTTCTCCAGGGACTGGTCTCTCCTGATAATATGTCCAAAGCATGTAAGACCAAGTCTTGCTATCCTCGTTTCTAAGAAGCACTCTGGCTGTACTTCTTCAAAGACAGATTTGTTCATTCTTCTGGCAGTCCATATTCAATATTCTTCACCAACACCATAATTCAAAGGCATCAATTCTTCAGTCTTCTTTATAGTCCCACTTTTCTCTCAGGGAAGGAACAGGGTTGCTCTCCAAGTCAAAATGTACCTCCAGACATATCCTTTCTCTGAGATGCCCTCAAAATACTTTGCAGGGAAACTCTCCTGAAAAGATCACCCAAATTTGGAATTGTGTTGTTAGTTGTGGATGCAGGGAGCAGAGTTCAGGATGGCACGGAAAGCCTTAGGCCACGAAAACCTTCCATTCCACAGTACTTGCTGCTTCCTGCCTTTTTAGCCCCACCCCCTCTGGCCTGTATGTAGGTACCCAACTGTTGGGTGGGCACAGAATTCTGCTTAGAACCAAGTCACGTCACAGCACTCTGTGTCTCCCAATTGGCTAGTCTCCCAAGAACGAGTCTAGGCGCACTTCAAGGCCTGGTGAACCCCAGTCAGAATCCTCCTCAGATAGTCACTCAAAGTCCTTTTATTCCTTTCTCAGAGATCATCCTGAGGCCCATCAGCAACCAAAAGTTCCTAAATCTGGAACTTTGCTGCTGTCCCTTCGTTTGTCGTATTTGCAGGCTTTTCCAGTCATGCCTCTCCCACTAGTTCTTGGCCAATTGTCAGTCAACACAAGCGTGACTAGCACTCAGTGACTTCATACCAACGCCTTCATTGGATGGCCATTTTATCAGAGAGCTGTACTCTTCCTTTAACGCCCTGATTTCCTTAAGACCTCCTGTTTTGCCCCTAAGTGACCCCCCCATAACCGATCACGAGTCTGGAGACAATGCTCCACAAGATTTGAGACTTTATTGTAAGAAACAGCTGCATATATCATAGGCCAATTCAAGTGCTGAGGGGACCAAAAGTTCTGCTTGCTGTTTGCCGCCTTTTGTTAAACGTTTCTCACGCCTGCGCAGTGTTGGCGCATGCAGAGTGACGTAAGGGACTCTGCGGCATCTGAATGGCCGCTCTCTGAGGGACGCGGCGTCGAGGTAGCAGGCGTCGCTCAAGGTCGCCCCAAATTTGCTCCAAATTCGTTCGTTCACGTTTAAGGGGGCCTCAGCCCTGGCTCCACTGCTCGGGCCCGGGGCCCAGTGTCGGAGGCTGCAGGCTGCGGCAGCCCCCGGCGAGCTCCTCCTGCTGCAGCCTCCGCAGCGGCCGGGCCCAGCGCGGCCTCCAGGGCAGTGCGAGGCCGTGGCGATCGAGGACGAGGCGCGCGGGGTCCGGTCCGCCGGCTGCGCTGCCCAGCAGCAGGTAGTTGGCGCCGGGCCGCAGGCGCAGGCAGCCGCAGGCCAGGTCGGCGAGAGGCACCCAGGCGTCCTGGCCGCCCCGAGGCACTGGCCGCGCCCGTTGCCTGTACACAGCCAGGACGCGCACGGCTAGCCGCCACCACGCGGGACCAGCCACCTCGATCGCCAGTACTTGCGCGTGGAGAACTGCGGGGAGGGGTGGTGTTAGGCCCAGGTCCCGCTGTCCAGGTGGCGAGGAGCCCCGCGGACCAGAGGCTAGGCTTCAGGGAACCTCCCAAGGGGCGGGGCCTTGAGCCTTTGAAGGTGCAGGTTGGGGGGGGGCATGCCCTGAGGGTGAGGGGCGGGGCCTGTTGGGGAGGACAAGGTCAAAGCCAGAAGACCGTTTAAAGGGGGCGGAGCTTATGGCTGTAGGGTGGAGTCTCCTCGGGAATGGGAAGGCCTGACAGGGAGAGGAACATGGTGGACACATGTCAGGGTGGGGCTTTGGCAACCATATCAAGAGGGGCAGATCTTGAAATTAAACGTGGTGATTTGGTGGGGGCAAGTGCAAGGTCTGTAATGCGGTAAGATCAGAAGGTGTCAGGGGCGGGGCACTTGGGAAGGAGGGGCATTACCAGGGGCGGGGCTCTGGGGTGAATTTGGGGAACCAGAAGGAGGGCCATCTCTGGAACCTAAGGGTTAAGGTCACATTAATGGTAATTTGGAAAAGGCGGTTTCTTGGGGAGTGAGGCCAGACAGTGTTGGAGGCAGGGCTCTGGCTAGGAGGCTGAGTCTATCCTGGTGGGTGGTGGAGGGAGAAGGTTCCACCTTCGAAGCCTGAGGATATCAGTGACCAGATAATGTTGCTGAGGGAGAAGGGGTTTGGGGTCCTAGACCATTGAGGGAAGTAGCTGGGGCTGGTCTCTTAGATTTGTGGGCTGAGTGGACCTCTTAGGTGTCTAAGGGAGCTACATTACCTGAGGTCAGAGTTCCCAGGGTCACTGGGGTGGCAGGGGAGGAGTGGACTGATTGATTAGAGAACTATGGATTGAGTCTCTGAGTGTGAGACTGAGACTTGCGTAACTGGGACCCTGAAGGGAGGGTCTCTGAGATTGACAGGGCAAGGGCCCATTCCATTCAACCAGTTCCTGCTTCTCCTTGCATCCCCAGGTGGCCACCCCCTCCCTCACAGATGTCAGGCTGAAGGAGACACTGAAGCTCTGCAAGCCGAAGAACATCGATGAAGAGGAGGCACAGGAAGGTAGCCAACACCCACTACCCACGCTACCCCCCATTTGTCCCATCAGACCCTAGACCAGGAAGCGCCCTTTAGAATCCAACACCGCTTCCCATTTAAGATAAGGAAATCAAAGGTCAGAGAAGGAGGTGGCTTGGAGACAGATTTCCATGGAACATCTCCAGCCTCCAGCCCTGTTTCTCCCCAGCACTCACCATAGTCCTGCTGGCAGTACCTCCAAAGGCTCATGTGCACCCTGGTGTCCGAGATATTGCAGTAGTTTTGACACTGAGGGTCTGGGGAGGGTCAGGCCGTCTGCAGTGGGCTCCTGAGGCCTGGACCACAGCGTTCTGCCCCTGCCCATTCTTGTGTTTGATCTTGATGGAGAGCTTGGCGCCCAGAGCCTTGGGACAGGGCTCAATGGGCCACCCCTGAGCCCCCACCTGGGGGCCCAATCAACCCATCCCCCGTCCCTCTTGCTGCCTAGGAAAAGCACCCTAGCTCATCTTACCGGAGCTGTATGCACCAGGAGTGGTGGCAAGAGTGGTTGTTGCCTCTGGAATTCCTGTATGTGTGAGAGAAAGAGACCAAGGAGCACTTTAGCAAACCCTTAGTTCCCACCCCACCCACTGAGGAATCCAGGCACCCAGACCCAACGTGTCTGTTCCCTTAAGGCCCAAGAGTGTGAGCACCCTTTGACCTTCTACCCCAGGAGCTGGAATCCTGGTCTCCAGCCCCCTCCTCCCTCAGACCCAGGAGTCCAGGCCACCAACCCCCTCCTCCCTCAGACCCAAGAGTCCAGGCCACCAACCCCCTCCTCCCCCAGACCCAGGAGTTTGGACCCCCGTCTCCCCTAGACTGCAGACTGCCAATCCCCCCTTCCTGAGCACCTCGGTCCAGCCTCCAACCCCTGGGGGTGTCTTGCTCCCGCCCCACTCAGGCTCTGTGGCCCTGCCCCTCAGGACTCACGCTGGCAGGGCATCCTGGGGGATCGGCTCTGCTGGTAGCCAGGGCCACAGCGGTTGCACCTGAGGCCCGTGACCCCCAGCTTGCAGGAGCACTGCCCACTGGTCTGGTTGCAGACACCACCTGTTGCCCCAATGGGGTGGCACTGGCAGGCTACACGAGGAGAGGAGCTGGGGGTGTGGGGTGTCTGCGTCCAGATGCTCCCTCCCAACTCTCAGCCCCCTCCTCCCTCAGATCCAGAAGTCCAGGTCCTCAGCACCCTCCTCCCTCAGACCCAGAAGTCTTGGCCCCCAGCACCCTCCTCCCTCAGACCCAGGAGTTCAAGCTCCCGGCCTCTCCTCCCTCAGACCCAGGGGCCCTGGCCCCCCGGCGCCCTTCTCCCTCAGACCCTGGAGTCTAGGCCTGCCTCCTTTCTGCCTCAGGCCCAGCTCCAGGCCACACTCACCCCGGCAAGCCTTTCGGCTGGTGATGGGTCGGCTGGGGTCCCTCCAGAACCCCGGCTGGCAGTAGTGGCAGTGCCGCCCGGCTGTGTGGTGGCGGCACCGCTCACAGACACCCCCGCTCAGGCCACCGGACAGCCTGAACAGCTCAGCGTTGAAGCGGCAGCGTCGGGCGTGCTGGTTGCAGGAGCAGGCTAGGAGGGAGAGTGGGCAGGGGTACGTCAGGCTGGCCTTCCTGTACTTCCCCCACCATCCCCATCCCCAGCCTTCTCCCTGCTGCCCTCAGGAAAGGAAATAAAGTGAGGGTATGATGTAAAAGGGACTGACTGGGGGTGCCTGGGTAAGCCTGGGATCAGAACCTCTTCATTCCCGTCTTTAAAACGGGTGTGTTGGACTAGAACTGGGTAAGCCTGAGGGGCCTCATGGACTTTCTGAACTTCCTTGTGAAACTGTGGGCATGTAAAGGGGAGCAGGGCTCAGGGTGTGGGGTGTGGAGGCAGTCAGGCCTCTGCGCCTATGTCTTTTACTGAGTTTCTTGGGCAAGTGACTTCTTTCTGTAGCTGTTTCCTTTTCTGTGAAAGAGCATTTGTAGTGTCTACTTCATGAGGATTAGATGAGATAAAATAGATATAAAGCGCTTACCCAAAGCCTGGCACAGACAAGGCTCTCCCATTTAGAGTTCTCACGTACCAGGTACTGTGTGCTAAGTGCTTGACACATTTCATACTCACACAGCTGTGCGAGGCTGGTGCTCTCATCATCCCCATTTTACAGATGTGGGAACTGAGGCACAGAGAGGTGAAGTCACTGGCCCAAGTTAGCGCAGCTGGGAGTGGTTGGGAGTGGGATTTGAGCCCAGACCTTTTGGCTCCAGAGTCTGGCTTTACCAGATATTCTCTAAGCCTTCTCACACAGCTCCCATGAGAATTCTTTAACACATGCATTTTTCTGGGGAGCACTCATGGGGTTTTCTAAGGTGGTGGCTCTCAAATCTTAACTACTGCTTGGAATTGCTGGGGAAATGGTTTTTAAAAATGCAGATTCCAGGGCTTCTGCTAGGTGGGGCCCAGAACTCCATATTGATAGCAAGCTTCCAAGAGTGAGATGCTGAGACAGGTAGTTCATGGACCACTCATTGGAGAGCCCTGGGTTTATGGGGTTATTGGCTCCTGAAGGTTTGCAAGGGCTGAGCTGGTAGGTCCCCAAGAGTCCAGTGGAGTTGTGTGATGGTCAGGGAGCTGAGACAGCAGTGTGTGCTTGGGACAGTGACTCCCCCGCACTGAGCCTCAGTGTGCTCCTGGCCAGTGGGAATCTCGATTGATCTCTCCTCCCCTTTTTGGGGGCATGAGAAGTGACGGTGCTATTCAGATTGTTAGTGGATAGAGCCAGGCTGTGGAGTCCTTCTGACCCAAGTGTCGTCACCTCACGTCCCCTCTGAACAACTTGAACAAGCGAGGAATGACGGGTGATGTCAGTGAACTGAAGCCTAGACCCTTTTCCATCACACCTTGTCAGTCTCTCACCCAGATTGAACTTGGGGGTACAGTGCCCAGCACAGCCTGGGGGCTGTGGTGATCCTCCAAGGGACAGCCTCCCTGGCTCCTAGGCCCTGTCCAGGCCCAGGGTGAACCCCACCTCATCCCCAGGCCACGTGAGTCCCCCTCCCTCCCTGTGCAGGGTGGGCAGACCTGGTTGGTGGGGATGGACCAAGGGAGATGCTGACCAGCTCTGAAGTGGGGCAGATGAAAGCTGGGGTGGGGGTGGGGGTGAGGGAGGAGGGAGACAGGGAGGACGGTAGCCTCCAGGGAAGCCCCAAGTGGGGATGAGGACAGGATGGGGAGCTGTGGAGAATGATGGCCTGAAAGTTGGTCCACAGGACGTCATCTGAAGAAATGGCGGGCAGTGAGGGAAGCTCAGGGAACTGTGTGCCTGTGTCTTTGTGTGTGTCCTCATTTGTCTATGTCTATGTGTTTCTGTGTAAGGAACCCTGGTGGTGCAGTGGTTAGGCACTCAGCTGCTAACTGAAAGGTCAGCAATACGAACCCACCAGCCGCTCTGTGGTAGAAAGATGTGGCAGTCTGCTTCCGTAAAGATTACAGCCTGGGAAAACCTGTGGGGCAGTTCTGCTCTGTCAATGGGATCACTATGAGTTGGAATGGACTCAACGGCAATAGGTTTTGAACGGGATGTTTCTGTCGGTGGATAGAATTACTCCCAGGGCCTGGTAACACATACCCTCTACCAAAGACAGCAAGATGCAGTGGGAGGAGAAGGGAGGATGAAGGAGCTGACAACTTTGTCTCTGAGGAGGGGCTGCTGGAGAGAATGGGCTGGGACTCTGGAAGCACCTTGAGGGGATCGGGGTTTGGGAGGGCGAATGGGGCCTGGAGGGCGGCTCAGCCATTGGCTGGCCCAGTGGTTCCCGGTGGGGACATCTAGGAAGGCCTGAGGCACTGAGCCCAGTCCCAGGGCTGCCTCCTGGTAGCAGTGAGACTTAGAGCAAGTGCCGCATCCCCTCAGGGATTACCTTCCTCCTCTGGGGAATGGTAACATTAGCAGATGCTCGGGAAGCTCTCCCTCCGTGCTAGGTACCATCTTAGGCTTTGTTCTAAGGGCTTTATCTATTTACTACCTCATTTAATTATCACTACAGCCTGTAAAGGAAATACAGTTACTATCCCCACTTTAACTCTTCCCATCAACCCATTGCTGTGGAGTCAATTCTGACTCATAGCGACCGTATAGGACAGAGTAGAACTGTCACATAGGGTTCCCAAGGCTGGAAATCTTTACAGAAGCGAACTGCCACATCTTTCTCCCGTGGAGCGGCTGTTAGGTTCAAACTGCTGACCTTTTGGTTAACAGCTGAGCGCTTAACCACTGTGCCACCAGGGCTCCTTATCCCCACTTTATAGATGAGGAAATGGAGGCACAGAGTCACCCACCTGAGGTCACACAGTTAGTAAGCAGAGTTGCTGGGATTTGAACGCAGGCAGGCAGCCTGTCTGCCAAGGCCGTGATCCTGTCTGCTTCTCTGGAACACTTTGTGTAACAGTGCCTGACAGGAGCTCGGCAGGTACGAGCTGGCACCCCAGAGCTCGGCTTCCCAAGCTCAGATCCTGCTTGTGCCAGCTACTTGCTGTTCGTCCTTCAGTAAAGGACTTCCTAACTCTAGCCTCACTTGCCTAATCTGTAAAATGGGCCTAATGACAGTACCTGCCTAGCACATTGTAAAAAAAAAAAACATTGCTGTCAAGTCAATTCCAACTCATAGTGACCCTATAGGACAGAGTAGAACTGCCCATAGGGTTTCCAGGGAGCACCTGGTGGATTCAGACTTCTGACCTTTTGGTTAGCAGCCAAACTCTTAACTACTACGCCACCAGGGTTTCTGGCACATTGTAAGTGATCGCTGAATACGTATTTAATGAATACTTTTCCCATGTGGTTGGCCTGAGGAGTCAGGAAATGTGCTGCTGCCTTGTTCTCCTACAACCATTTGAGAAATATGCCCAAGCATCTGCAGCAAGCCAGGCCCTGGACTGGGGTTCAGGAGATGCTAGACATATTATTAGGACCATCATCATGATCAGATGAGTGTTGGGGAGAAACTAAACCAGTTGCCATGGAGTCAGCTCCGACTCCCGGCGTCACTATGTGTCAGAGTAGAATTAGGCTCCATCAAGCTTTCAGTGGCTGATTTTTCCGAAGTAGATCACCAGGCCTTTCTTCTGAGACACCTCTGGGTAGACCAAAACCTCCAACCTTTCTTTTAGCAGCCAAGCAGTGTGTTAACCATTTGCACCAGCTGTGGACAGCCTGGGCCCCCAGTAGGCAGGTAGGCAGCTGGACATCTGTGAGCCAGTCCTGTCTGCAGCAGGAATGCAGGGCAAGCAGGTGGCGGAGGGTGGGATACAGTGAGAAGAGGAGAGGGGACTGGGCCTGAGAAGCAAGGAGCTAGCAGTTCTAGGGAGGGAAGACACCACCGTGGCTCCTTGGGGACAAGGGACCAAGGGACTGGCCCCTGGAGAGCCATGGGGCCAGGTGAGGGTATGAGAGTGGGCAGGCACTCACGCAGACAGGGGTGGGGGTGCCGGGGCGTGGCAGGCCGCCAGGGCCAGTCGCGGTGGGATGGGCGGCAGCTCTCGCACCCAGGGCCGGTGGTGTGGTGGCGGCAGCGGCAGCGGGGGGGCCGCAAGCGGGCCGCGCAGCGGGCAGCATGACCATGGCACTGGCAGCGGCCTCTCACGCCAGCCGCAGCGAGTCCTGCTCGGCTTCCAAGCTCGACGAGGAGGTGGCTGGCCACCACGCTGGCCTTAGGGCCTGGCGGGGCACGGAAGGTCACCCGCTCAGGGCCTCCCAAGGCCCCGGGCCAGGCAGGTCTGCGCCACAGTAGCCTCCAGGGACCCCCTGCGGCCCAAGCAGCAGATAGGACCAGGGCCGGGGATCCTGGGGTGCAGAAGCGCAGGCTGATGGACGTCAGCAGGAAGGGAGCGCCCAGGGCCAGGGCCAGGCTGCCATTGCAGGAGGCCTGGAGGCCAAGGTCCATCCCCGGGGAGAGGGCACAGGCCTGAGGGCAGGAGGCCGTCACACCAGCCAGCTGGGTCACTGGCGGGAGGCAGAAGCGGGGGTGGCCCCCTGGATCGTAGCATGGGTCTGCGGTGGCCTGGCTCAGGAGGAACAAGAGGGCAAAGGTCACGGGCATGGTCCGGCCTTGTGGAGGCAAGCACCTGGAGGGAAGAGGAGGGGCTGAGGCCTCAGGTTGCCCCTGGGAGACCAGGCATGCAGCTTCTACCCACTCCCCAAGGCTCTTCTGTGGAACCCCAGCATTCCACCCCAAGCCCCCTCCCCGGCTGCTTCTAAGCGAGGAAAATAGTTCCATCTGGGGAGAATTACTGTTTACATAACCCAAAGGGGAAAGAACGCAAGCAAAATTGAGAATTTTGCCTGAACTAATCCGTAGCTTAACACCCCAGAGCTATCCGTCAGTGTCGAGGGGGCAGGGGCCCTGGGGAGGCGGGGGGGCAGAGAGGGACAGATGGAGACTCAGGCAGAGACAAAGAGATAGAAAGAGATGTGAGCTGAGAGACTGAGATGGAGAAGCGGAGAGACACAGGCCGAGGGAAAGAAACTGCAGAGAGCGGGTAGGCCCAGAGGGAGGCAGGGAGGCCTGGCAGATAGAGGCCAGGCACCCAGAGTCCACAGGGAGTGGGAGGCCTGAGGCCCAGAGCCTGGGGGGCGGGCAGGCAGGGGTGCCAAGCCCCGAGGCACCTAGTGAGAGCTTGAACAACAACAGGCCGTGTCATGCGGGCTGGGCTGGGCCGCGGGAGGGATCAGAAGCAGAGGCCGAGCCGGCCCGCGGGGATCAGAGCAGAGGCTCTTTCCCACGTGGGGCCCTAACCTTGTTCTCCACACCCTGGGCACGGAGGGGGATTATCGCCAAGCAGCCCCGGCCTCCCTGCGCCCCCCTGCCACCCACCCCAGCCCTCCATCCTTAACCCTTTCCCACCCGGGTAAAAAGCCCAGAGAAAGGGATGGGCACAGCTGGAGGCTGGAAGCCTGAGTCCCTGGGGCTGGGGAGCAGGACAGCCAAGTCCCTGTGGGGTCAAGAAGGGGGTCGCCCAGCTTCCCATTAGGACATGGCACTGGGTTTCTGAGGAGTCTGTGATCATCCCAGCCCCCGCCTGCCATCCTAGGCTGCAGGGTCCGGGCACTGGAGCCCCCACTTTCTCCACTAGCCGTAAGTGTTCCCAGAGCAGATGGGGGAGCAGATGTCTGGAGTGGAGTGATGGGTGATGAGGCGGAGAGTGGCAGGCCAGCAGGAGCATGAGGCAGGACAGGGTGCCCAAGGGGTCACAGTCCAGACCCCAGAGCACTCGGCCCTGCACTTCCCAACTTTCCCTGCTTGCAGCCGGCGGCCCCCCACGAACTCACTCAAGACTGGAGGGCCTCGGAGCCCCTCACTCTCTGAATCTGGGCCCAGGCATGCATGCAGGCCCGAGTCTGGAAGTGTTGGGAGGGACACCCCGGGGTAGGGGGTGACATCTCCCCCAGCTGAGCTCATGGCCCTTCTGCCCCCAACACTGCTGCCATCTGCAGACATCTGCCTCCCCCACCAGGCCACGGGTATCGCCCTCCACCCCTCGCAAGAGCATGATGCCATGTTGAGCTCTCATGGGGGCATTTGCCCCCGTCCCTCGGTGTCGGCCTAGGTGAGGACCTGGCCTGCTGCCTCCCTTCTCTTGCCCATGTAGTTCGGGGGTGCCACTTTCTGGCCCTTAGCACCTTGAGGAACCAGACTGCGAGTCTTCTGGTGCTCCTGGGGTCCAGAAGCCGGCCCTTCCTGACAAGGAGCCCAGGTGTCCAATCCCCAGCCCTTACCCCTTCTGGGACCCGTATCCCACCCCAGCTCCCACCCCCCCGCCCCCGCCATAGTCTAGCTCTGGTCCCATGAGACCAATAGTCAGGCCCCCACTCCTGGGTCTTGGAAGGTCCACCTGGGACCCAGGCTTCCTTTCCCCCACTCTTTGCACCCCCATTCCCACCCTCTAGGCCCCTGACTTTAGCCAAACCTGTGCCCAGGAAGAGGCTCCTCGGTGCTCCTCACATGGCCTCCCCGCTCCGCAGGAGCTCAGCGGCCGGCAGTGGGCTCACCGTGGTGACGAGTGTCTGCTCTCAGGCCCCAGGCTAGTGGGGGTGCTGGGCGGGAGTTCAGAGCTGAGTCCACAGAATCCAACACCACCGCCTCCGCCAATTTCCTCACCAACTGCAGCCCCGCTCTCCCTGCAGGGACCCGCGTCACCCTGGACCTTGTGGGACAAAACCATGTGGGACTGGAGAGCCATCGCCCCCCTGGGCCCTTGCGGCCACACAGAGCCCCCAGCTGGACAGCCCCAAGCAGTGTGTCCTAGGAAGTTCAAGGCAGGTAGGACGGCAGCAGGATGGGGCTCCTGGGTTTGGTCCCCCTCCACTCACCTCTAGCCCCACTGATTCCCAGCGGCGCGGCTCTGTCCCGCCACGTGGTGGCTGCATTGGCTCGGGGAGGGGGCTGACCTTCAGGCTGGCACACATTGAGGTGGGACGGTTTCCATCCGGAATTCAGCTGGGCCTCTACCCCTGACTGGGTGACCCCAAGACAGCCCCTTCTCCCCTCTGGAACCTTCTGTCAGTTGCGGGTTAAATGAGTGTTAAGGTCAGCCGCTCTCAAGCCCTAAGAGTCTGTGCTCTTGGAAGGAGCAGACCAGTCGCCAGGAAACCCAAAGACCTCACCCCGCTCTTGGCGGATTCCCAAAACGGTAGGGACAGAGGTGGAGGAGATGGGCGTGCCTCAGAACCCTGTGGCTCTGGTGGTCGAAGGGAGAAAGCAGGGACCCCCAGGGAGCACAGGAGGTATGGTGCACAGCCGGTCTCCCCAGCGGCCAGTTCCCTGCCAGGGCCCTGATGCTTTAATCATGAAATTTCACGCAAATGTCGTCAACTCTATTACACATCGAAATGGTTCTGAATAGAAGAATAATGTTTCCAATTACTCCCCGCTGAGGAAAGAAACAGCCTCGGGAGCACGCACCACGATATTTGCTGCTACAGCTTGGAGTGTCCCCAGCATCTGTGGTGGCACCATTGGGCTGGGAGTGGGGGGAGCCACTGTCCCGGTGCCTACCCTGGGGGGCCGGGGAACACAGCCAAGGATGGGGGTGATTCTGGTTCCTGGGGACCCTCCGCGGTGGAGCCCAGGACAGGGACACCAGATTTGAAAGAAGGGAGTGGTTCAGAAAACTCCGTGGAGGCGCGAGGAGGAGGTAGCTGGAAGAGAAAAGGATTTGCGGTGGAGACACCCCCATACCAGAGAGGGGCATGTCTGATCTAGGGGAGGCAGTGGGGTGGGTGGGTAAGGGTTCAAACAGACCTGCAAAGTTATGAGTGACAGTGCTGCGACATTGCCTGCACTGATTTGACAAATCCCGATTGAGCACCTACTGTATGTAGACACTGTGCCGCGCTGAAGATACCACGGTGAACAAAACACAAAAACCCCTGTCTCTGTCTGGCTCACATTGTACGGGAGACATTGACGAAAAAAAGTCATAAGTACATTCCGTGGAATGCTGGAAGGGAAAGAGTGCTTTGGAACAAAAGCAAGCAGGGAAGTGGATGGGGACAATGGGGGTGTTACAGGTTCAAATGGGGGTGGTCCCGGGATGCCTCGTGAGGAGGGGATATTTGGGCATTGGGGAAGAGCGTTACCAGCAGAGGAAACGGCCAGTGAGGCTATTTTTTTGGCCAGAGAAAATTCAGAAAGGAGGTTTTAGGTCTCATACTGTATTTTCCTCACTGGAAGCCCTGGTTAGCGCTAGACTGCTAACTGAAAGGTTGGTGTTGAACCCACCAGCCACTCCGAGAGAGAAAGACTGAGAGAGAGAGACTTGGAGATCTGCTCCTGTAAAACCCTGTGGGGCAGTTCTACCCTGTTACAGCATGGCTATGAGCCAGAATTGACAGCAACACATTTGTATTTTCCTCCCTGCCCAGCAGGGACAAGAAATTTCTTAAGTTAATGATACCTGGAGGGAAGCTTTCTTCCTTGCCTTTGTTCTTAAGCACCCCTGAGGGTGCCTCAGGGAGGTGGGGAGGGGGCAGAAGCAGCAAGAACGGAGAGGAAATAATTCCTCGAGTATGGGACGCCTTCACCCTCAGCGTGTGTCAGAGAGGAGGGTACAGCTCAGAGGTGGGCTCAACATGGCGGGGCCCACAGCTTTGAGCCCCCAGAGACGCCCTGCTTTGGTGGCCTAGAAATAACAGAGGCCCCACGTCACCGGGCAGAGGATGTGTGTCTGCGTATGTGTCAACGGGGACACCACTCTCCCCCAGGACATACTAAAAAAGTCCAGGACAGTAGCTGAGAGCACAGATTCCTGAACCACACTGCCTGGGTTCAAGTGCAGGCTCCACCTGTTTACTATCTGTGTGATTTCGAGCAAGTGTCTTAACCTCTCTGTGCCTTAGTTTCCTCATCTGTTAAACGGGGCTAAACACGGACCTTCCAGGGGGGCGGGGCGGGTGTTACGAGGACGAAATGAGCTAAGATAGGTTCACAGCCTCTTTTCTGAAACCCTGGGCCAGACAAGAGCCTTCTGCATTGTGGAACGGTCATAGGGTGCATATGCCGCATATTACCTAACACACCCAGCGGGGTCTCGGCAGCATCTTGACGTCAAATGTGTTGTTACTTCTGCAGCAAAACATGTGGGTGTTCACACTAAGTCTACAAGTAGCCGCACAGGCTGTTTGTCCTCATTTTGCCCCCAGCTGAGTTGAGCTCAAGTTGGGGCTTGCCACCACCTTTAGGAAAATTGCACGCAGGAGACTGTGGGCCCGTGGCGGGCCCCAGGGAAGCATCAGCCTCCATTCGTTATCTTCCGCGACTTTTTAGGCTAAGACACAGTCGTGGCAGTTGTGAGGCTGATGCAAAACCACGAGAGGGAGCTCGTGAGACTCAAACAGGTACACAGCCGAGGCAGGACCGGCTACCGGATTCGCAGGGCCTCACTCAAAATGAAAACGCAGGCCCTTGTTCAAAAATTATTAAGAATTTCAAGATGGCAACAGCAGAGCACTAACCTGAGCGCAGGGCCCTGTGTGAGTGCACAGGTGGCGTGTTGTGAAGCCGGCCCTGGGTGGCAGCGCCCTTGTGCCGAGCTGGCGACT